ACTCAGGAGGCTGAGGCAGGAGAATTGCCTGAACCCACGAGCCGGAGGTTGCAGTGAGCCGAGATCGCGCCATTGCACTCCAGCCTGGGTAACAAGAGTGAAACTCCGTCTCAAAAAAAAAAAAAAATTAGCCGGGCATGTGGCAAGGGCCTGTAATTCCAGGTACTCGAGAGGCTGAGGCAGAAGAATTCCTTGAACCGAGGAGGCGGAGGTTGCAGTGAGCCGAGGTTGCACCACCGCCACTGCACTCAAGCAGGAAGGGAGGGAGGCAGGGAGGGAGGGAGGGAAGGATCCAAGGCAGTAAGGCTAAGCATTTTTTTGTGAATAACACACATTTGCATATCTCTATAGCCGGTCCTGGTGTAAAATGTATTTCTTACTTTGGGTCTTGAGAAAAAAAGTTTTGAACCTTGAGTGTGAATTTGGGAGTCAGGGGATGTGATCCTTAGGCTTAGACCTAAAGAAGGATATAACCAATAAAATGAATAATCCTGCCCATAATGTGATGCCGATAACTGAACATGTATCCCGTGCCAGGCAGGGGTGCTCAGGCCCCAAGGCCTGGCAGGGAAGGGAGGGGAAGGAGTCCAGAGTGGACAGAGATCCCATGGGCAGATAGTGGAGGAGTCCAAGGTGAACTGCCTGGAGGAGGAACCTGAACTTAGCCTCCAAACACCTCTCTGCCCTGGCAGGTTCAGGGCTAGGTCATAGTGTGAGCTTGGGTAGCAACAGTAATGACAGGAACAGCTGCCATCAGTAAATACTGGCTGAATGCCAAGACCTTTTATCCTCCAGACTTTCCCAGGAAGAAAGAACTGCTCTTCGCATCATTTAACGAAAGAGGAGGCTTGCCGCGATGTGGTAACTTGGAGCATAGGGGTCACACGGTGGTAAAGTTGCTGTGGCTAGATCCAAGCCCAGGTCTGCCCTGCTTAAAGCCCTTGTCTGAAGATTGCACACGGATGGGGGCTGCAAAAATGGGAGTGCTGGATGCTGGGGATGGGGTAGTGGGCCTGGGAGGGTGGATGGCCAGGGCAGACAGAGGAACCATCTGTGCTGGGACTCAGGCATCAGAGACCACCGGGCTCAGGGCGAAACCTCAGGCCCCAAGACTCCCACCCTGGAGAGTGCACATGGCCCCTGTTCTTGGCAGTAATGTGGTCACAAGGACCAAAGCCAGGCCAGCCCCTTTCCTGATGTTGTCCACTCTTCAGGCCCAGTGTCCCCCAGCTGTGGCGGATGTCAGGGAGTGGGGAGTGGAGAAGAGCGGCAGGGCCTGTTTCCCATCTTTGATCAAGATTCATCTTTGCTGGTTTGAACCCAGCTCCTCTGCTTTCCAGCAAGTCATTCGTGCCTGTCAGGAAATAATTTTTGGCTTGAGTGTTTCCTCGAGGGAATCTGAGGTTCCCACAGCTCACGCTTCTGCCCAGGGACTGAACTTGGGAGATGTCTTCCAAGAGCACCTGCACTTGCTTGGGCTGATGGGGCAGTGGACGGCCACAGGCGAGTCTCTTGGGACGTAACAGGTTACTCATATTCTTTGCAGCAGCAGCTCATCTGGTTTTGGACTGTGCCAGGTGCTTTGCATGTGTGCTACACATACACACATGCTCACTCATAAAGCCACACTCACTCCCGCTAGACACTTGCACAAACATGGATCCCTGCAAATACGAGTTCACACACGAGCAACGCAAGCATGATAACGTGGTGTCTTGGGGGCTTGCAAGTGTGGGATGTGGGTGCTGGCAGTGCTGGTGGAGTACTGGGTGAGTGGGGGTCAGTCCCGACCTCTCCTTCCTGAGATCCTGTTTTGGGACCCATGAATCTTTTCGAAGGGGACTTTGTGCTTTTGCTCTGAGCTTCCAGACTTCTCAGGAATCTTCTGCTGCAGTTTGAGAGGCACAAATTGACTCAGCTGAGAGAGCTGGCTTGACAGACTGTTTCTTTCTGTCTGGGGCTGGAGAGAGAGCACAGTGCCTTCTTTTGGGTGTACCAGAAGGCTCTGTGGCCTCTCTCCTTCAGCATTCAGCCCGTTCCCCTCCCGGGCCCAGGGTGGGGCAGATCCAACTGTGAAATCTTTCTTGTGGTTGCAGGGACTTCTAGCCCCATGGCCAGCAGACAGCCAGGACTACAGGACTCGCTATTCTGAGTAGGGACTTGGAAGGCCCTCCGGGGGGCTGGTGGTAGGCTGGTAAGGCTGGGCACTGTGGTTTGGATGCAGTCTGTGGCCTGACCCTGAGGGACCTCCAGGCCCTCAGCCCCCTACCTACCAGCTGAACCCTGATGCTGACTATTAGAGCCAGAAGGGTTGTAACTGCAGGCTCTCCTGAGGACACCTTTGCCCTGGGCTTTTCTGCTTAGTTCAACAAGAACACCTACTGTGTGTGTGCCAAGCACAAATGAATGTATGAAGATGTGCCCGGCACTGTGCTGTGGACCAAAAGACAGGTCAGACACAGGTAGGACATGGCTTATGTCCTCTGGGAGCTAGAGAGGCATGCAGCCATGGATCCCAGCATCTGCTGGGCAGGGAGGGTGAGGGGAAGCAAAATGTGTGTATTTGTATGTGTGTATGTGCATATGGGCATGCACTATGTTTATATATGTATATATGTGTGCATGCATACCTCTGTATGCATGTATTTGGATATATATGTGCATTATGTGTATATATTTGTATGCATATGCATGCACATGTATGTATATGTATATGTGTGCATCTGCTCACACACATGCATGCCCCTTAGTCCTGGCCTGGAGGAGGGCATTATCCTGGAATGCATCCTCAGGATGGCAGGCTTCAGTTGGGGAGTCTGAGGCAGTGGGTGGGATGGGACACGGGGCTGTGGCGAGGAGTAAGGAAGGAAACTGTGGCCCAGGATGGAGTCCTACAGTGTGCCACGCACAATGCCTGGACACTACTTGCCCAGCTCATGGCTCCTCAAACACCTCTTTGAAGGAGGATGAGGCCAACTTGTGGATGCAGAAGTTGGGAATCTGAGAACTTATCTCACGTTTCCCAGACCACACAGCCAGTAAATTGTGAGCCACTTTGAGCCTGGCTCTGCTGGACTCTGAAGGTCAGGTCTGTTTCTCAAGGCTAGTATGGGACTTTCTCTGCTGCTGTCCTTTTCACACACCTTGGGTGGCGTAGGAGCAGGTATGGAGCTGAGGACAAGTCTTTCCTGGGCCTGTTTCCTCATTCTTTAAAATAGAGATCAGAAAAGTACTAACCTTTTTTTTTTTTTTTTTTTGAGACGGAGTTTCACTCATGTTACCCAGGCTGGAGTGCAACGGTGCGATCTCGGCTCACCGCAACCTCCGCCTCCTGGGTTCAGGCAATTCTCCTGCCTCAGCCTCCTGAGTAGCTGGGATTACAGGCACGCACCACCATGCCCAGCTAATTTTTTGTATTTTTGGTAGAGACGGGGTTTCACCATATTGACCAGGATGGTCTCGATCTCTTGACTTTGTGATCCACCCGCCTCAGCCTCCCAAAGTGCTGGGATTACAGGCTTGAGCCACCGCGCCCGGCAGTACTAACCTTATAACATGGTGAAGCACTGGAGAGTTAGGTGCTAGGGATGTGCTGAGACCACAATGAGTCATTTCTCTTGTTTTCAGTTATTCTTAGGGGTCATGGGGCATGTGTATCCCTCTCCCAGCCCAGCGCCCTCCCGCCTGACTTTGGACAGAGGTGCCTGCACTGCTTTCATCGTGGGGCAACCCTAGCTCCCCCAAATCCTGCTCCAGTACTGAATGGGGGTGAGGCAGGTGGTAACAGGTGAGAAAGAAGGATTTCCCGAGTGTGGAGCGGAGAGAGGGAGGAAGTGACTCACCAGATACAACAAAGCCCACCTCTCCACGAGGAAGCCCTGGCGAGGAGTGAACACAAGTGGGTGCGTTCACCCACGTGCTCGCGGGGACGTGCGGGGCCGTTGGGTTGGGCCGGGCTGGCGGCTGCTTAGTGCTAGTCTGCACGGGTGGGATGAGGAGAGGTGGGGGGCTGGCCTCTGGTGCCGGTCACTGCCTGGGGCCAAGTGATGGGGTGGGGGCGGAGGGACCTGCCGTTCCCCTTTGGCCTCTGGGGGCCGAGGGGCGCGTTTCCTTAGGACCCTGGGGCGTGGGAGAAGCCCCTGCTTGGACGGACAGTTTGCTGTGTTAGGCTAGCCCTTCGACACGTGGGAGGCAGAAGTCCAGCGAGCGCGATCGCCCAGCTCCGGCCGCACAGTACAGCGAGGCCGGCGCGGAGCCCGGATGCTGGGCTCGGTCCCGCCGAGGCTCGGCCTGGCTGTAAAGCAGAGGGGGGCGAGGGAAGCCGGGCCAGCGGCTCTCGCGGGGAGCCTGCGTCCGGGAGGGGGTGTGGCGCCCAGAGCGCTGCTGTCTCTTGCAGCCAGGAGGCTGGAAGTCCGGTTTGGGTGTCTTCCAGAAGCAGCCGCGAAAGCGACGAGGGAAGAGGAACTGGCTTCCCGGGGAGTCTCCCCCGCCCCAAACTTTTCGTCCTAGTTGAGGGTGGGCGGGCGGAGGGAGGAAGCGTGGCCGGGGAAGGTGGGGCCAGCGTTCCGCCCGCCCGGGGCCGGAGCTGGGGTGAGTGTGTCTTTAAATCCAAGCCCCCCGCCCCTCGCGGTGGGGCTGGGGCTCGCAGGCCTGGCGGGGGCGGGCGCGGTGATTGGCGGCCGGGCCGAGTCCGCCCCTCGGCGCGGGGGACGCGGGGCGCAGGGGAGCAGAGCGGCGCGCACTGGCAGGGGGACGCAGCTCCCATCGCCGGCTAGCGCGGGCTCCCTCTCGCGTGGCCTCGCCGGCCCCGGCTGGCCTGCCCACCTCCGGAGCCGCCTCTGCCGCCGCATGGGCTGGGGAAGTTGGGAGGAGCGAGCAGGAGCCCGCGCCGGGCGTGCCCCGCCACTGCCTGACTCGGCGCCCGCAGTCCGGGCGCAGCGTGCCTGCATCAGGAGCACGAATGCCCCGCGGAGCTGCGGGCTGGCAGGTACCGACGTGTCCCAGCCGGGGGCTGGCGAGGGGAGGGCAAATCCGGAATCCTATGGGCACGCCCCCCCCCCCCCCCCAGCCCGAGACTGCTCTAGACGCCAACTCCCCATCGCCTGGAGAGGTGAGGTCCTGGGCCTTCACCCCAAACCCGCTCAGGACTGGTCCCTGGGAGGCAAAAGGGACTCACAGGGAGCAGTTGCTGGGTGGTTCTGTGTGTTGGACCCTGGGCTACCCCCTCTCCCGAGTTTCCTGGGTCTGGTAGTTTCCGTGTAGGCACGGGCTGGCGACAACTCCACTTTTCATTACCAGGCCTGGGAGCACCGACAGGATCTAGGCTTCCCCGCGAAGTTAGGGGGAGATTGGGGAGAGGGAAGCCGTTTCATGACCCAGAGATGGGGTCCCGGGACTCACCTCTAGGGGGCTCGAGGCCCGCAGACCCCGGATGAATTCAGAGGTGTCAGCGGGCACAGGCATTGATTCTTGGCCCAGTCTGGCCCTCTTCCTCTGTAGGCCTGGGTCTCCGAGGAAAGTACATTTTTCAGTTTAAAAGGGTTTTCTGAGTGGGCAGTAATCTGTCAGAAGGAGAGTGGTCTATGGGAGACCCGCAGCACCGAGCTCCTGAAGGTGGCCAGGATGGTTGGAGCCCTTTCATGACTCTTGGGTTGTCTGAGATGGGAGTAAAGCTTCATGGCCCCAGGAATCTTCTGGGCATCTCTCCCACCCAGAGGCCCGGGCACCAATTCCTTGGCTTCTGGGCAGAGCAATCTGAACCCAGTGGCTGAGCACCACTTAAATGGCAGTCACTGGGCCATGGCCCTGGAGTATGTGGGTAGGGGAGGATTTGGAGGATTCTGTTCTCAGGAGGCTCAGGCCCTGCAGGGAACATGGTTCATAAACAAAAGTTCCCTGATGCAGGGTTTTGATACCAGTCCTGGTGATAGTGGAAAGCAGAGAGGCTACACACCATTGCTACATGAGTAACCTAGGCTGTGGGACCACCAGGGCAGCAGAGATCCAGTTTCCATGCAAGCAAGTAAATGTGCTGAAATGCTCCAGCCCATGCCCACTCTTCCTTATTACCCTGCTCGAAGGGCAGGGAGCAGCAGGGGAGCTTAGGAGGTTCTCCTGCATCCATCCCCACTCCCAGCTTTGTTTGTTTCCTGCTGATGGATTTCTGAAGCAACCCATTTGGTTTCTTGGTTTGGGCTGAGCACGGGACTCTCCTAGCTCGCCTGTGGCTCCTGGGGTTTGGGGTCTAGAGCCAGTCTTGTAGGAGGTTCAGAGGCAAGTGGGAGGAAGTCCTCACTTCCTTTCTGAAGAGCCTCCATTGCTGGGGTTTTGGGGTACGTTGGGAGGCTGGCAGGCACTGGGCCAGTTTCCTGTGAATGCAGACAGACCCTTGGTGGTGCATGCAGCCTCCTCCCTTCCCTGGCTAGTGTTGGGGGTGGGCACAGTAGGGCCCAGGTGGCTTGAGGTGGGTGGTTCCTGGCACGGTTCTGACCTCACCTCTGTGAGGCTCTGCTGTATCTGGGTCTCTGCCCCCCTCCCTCATTGTCCTTGGCAGGTTTCTGTTTTTCTGGAACACTTTGCGGAGGTGGCAGTGTGCTCATGCCCATGGCCTTGGGTGCAGTTCTGGGAGTGGGAGTTGCTGAGCTCACCCTGAAGCCCTTGGCTGGCACTGTGAGAACCTGTGTGAACACAGTTGCCTGCCTCCAAACAGGTGTGCACAGACCTGGGCACCTGTGGGGGATGCCTGTGTGGGCAGAGACATGTGTGCACGTGTGTGGTCAGGTTTACAGCTGCATGCGCAGAGACATAGAGGAACTGGATTCATATGTACATGAAGACAGACACAGGAGGATGGTGGGGGTGAGCAAACAACCTGGGGAAACAGACATGCATGGGGAGAGACACACATGAGCTCAGCGTGGGCCACATATGGGCTGCAGACACGTACATAGATCTACACCATCACAGGGGTTTGAATCTACCCACATGGGAGGCAGACATGTCAGTGGACAGACATATAGGTGGCCCCACCAGAGCACAGGGGGATGTGAACCGACATTCCCAGACACAGACGCAGAGCCACAGGGAAGCAGCTGAAGTACCTGGGCAGAATGGAGTTGGCTGTGAGCTCCCAGGGGCACAGACACATATGTTTGCCAGAGCCAGCTGATAGCAGAGGCCAGTAACCAGACACAGGTAGGTTCTGAGAGGCAGGCCGAGGCACTCACTGCCTGGTTATCACTGTTTCTCTGGGTGGCACAGTGCCCAGAAGTTGTCCTGTTTGGGGTGGTGATGGTGCAGGTGCTCTGTGCTGGGGCTTATTTCTAGATTCCCACTTTGGGGTTTGAGGACCCCAAAAAGCTCAGTCTCCTGTGTTTTACTCAGTCATTTGGCCTCTCTGCCTCTGCATTGCAGGGCTAGGCTCGTGCCTTGAGAGTACCAGCAGGTGCTCTTTGAGCTTTGATTCTTCTTTGGGTCTCCAGAGGCTTCCTGAAGTGAGGCCGTGTGGCCCGAGTGGGATGCTCCGATTATTCTTTGCCTACTGGAATCGAGGAGGAAATGCCTGGGGATTCTTCCGAACCCAAGCCTGCGGGTCTTTGGCAGGGATGGGATGATCCCCCGAGGAGAGAGAGAGGACACGTGCAGCTGAGTCTGTGATGAGAGCCACTGCCCTCTGGGGCTGGCTTCTCATCTGCTAAGCCCTGGGCTTGCACAGGGAAGGGGTCCCTCACCTGGCTATGCTCAGGTCTCGTCTGCTCAACCTGGCACCTAGGAGCCAACCCAGATTCTAGATATGGTTTGATACTAACATACCCTGTAACCTCCAGCCCCAGGTCATTCAGTGTCTGGGTTTCCTCATCTTTAGAGTGGGGTCAGTAACCCCCACATCCTTGTGGGTTCTGTGGGAGACAATTAGTGGAAAGCGTGTGGCCCCGTGCATGGCATGGAGTGAGCTCCCAGTTGATGTGGGTGTGGGGGCCTTTGATTATGAGTCTTCCCCTGTGGCCACGACTCTGCAGGGCTTCCTCAGCAGCCAGGTGCATGGCCCTGGGCCCCTGGGTGAGGCCTAGAGCAGGCTGGGTGGGCCAGGCACCCCTCCTATGAAAGCCGGAAGGGTTTGTCTTTGCTCTGTGCCCACCAGTCCCTCCTTAGCCTTGTGGGACCTCCATACATGGAGTCAGGAAATGGTAGGCTGCCGGGGATATGGAAGCTTGGGCCTGCTGCCTGCTGGGCCTCTGGGAGGGGAGCCAGTGGTTTGCTAAGAATAGTCCCAAATCATGGCTCTCACCTCCCAGCGGGCAGCCCAGCCATGTGCCGCCCTCATCTCCGGCCAAGACACTTGCAGATGGGCTTTTTATGTTTCCTGTGACTGGTGCTCAGCACAGGATTGGGTCTGGGAGCAGCAGGCTTTGTCTGGGAGGAGGCTCTGATTGCCTTCCGAGGCCTTTGGCTGGGACCCGGGGAAAGAGAAGGTCTGGAAGCTCTGGCCTTTACAGTCCCTGAGTTCCTCTTCCACTCAGGGCTTTTCCTGACACATCTCCCTCTATCCTCAAATAGACCTGTTGTGATTAAGAACACTGGCTCTGGAAAGAAACCACCAGGGTCTGAATTTCTGCTCCCTCCCTTATGAGCCGTGTGGCCCAGGGCAAGAAACCTAACCTCTCTGTGCCTTGCATAACAGGGTTAAGGATACTAACTCCCTTATAAGAATGTCACAAGGATGAAAGGAGATAATTGCAGAGAGCCCTCGAGACCCTGTCTGGCTCATAGGAAGTGTTTGGTAAACAATAGGTGCTTATGTTATTATTATAACATATTCTCTCAGCAGAGGCCAGGATGCTTGCACAGGACCAGGTGGTGGGAAGGGACCAGGGTGGCATCTTGATTTGGGTTCCTGAGCTTTCTTGGCCCTGGGTTCGGTATGAGGTGCAGGGACTCTGAAGGTAGATTAACCTCAGTCCCTATCAGGAGGTGAGTGAGGTACATGCAGATACCATGTCCGGTGCCGTGATGGAAGGAGGGAATAGCTAGCCTGGGGTGCATGTGATACTTCATGTGGGCTTTGAGGGATGGCCAGGAGTTTGCAAGGGGGAGGGCAAGGCTTCTCCAGCAGAAAGAGCAGCATGGCAGAGGTGTGACAGCCTTTGGGAAGCATTGTATATATTTCCCATAACTGGCATGTGGGCTGGCTTTGGCTTTAAGGGGTGCCCCTGCCTGGGGCACTGATGAGAGAGGCATGTGGGGTGTCTGGGTCGTCTGCACGTTCATGGAAGGGAGTAGGGAACATCTTTGGGAAGTGAGTGTGTCGCTGGCCAACACCGTGGGCTCCCAGGGAGCTGGGGCTTTTAGAAATTCCATGAGGAGGGAGGATGTGGTGCTGAGAGGGCTGTGGGTACCCTGGGAAATGGCCAACAGACTGGGCTGGGGCCATGGGAGGGGAGAAGGGTGGGTGCCCTGAGATGACCTGGGACTCTGCCAGCTTCTGCATCGTGCCTGAGCCCCAGGCCTTCCTCTCTGCAGGCTGTGCCGGCCTCTGTCTGGCCTTCCCAGAGTGGAGGCCTGGGATGCTGGGACACTTTTGAAGAGTCTGTTTAGAAAGCACAGAGGGGACTTCTCCTCCCCTTTTCCTTTTCTTAGAACTGGAGAACCTCCTGAAGGCGTTAACCCCTTTCCTGCTGGTCACACAGTGGCCCATGGATATCCCTCCCTTTTTTTTAGGATCACTATTTTATTGTTGACCTTTCTGTTACGCGAGATGTATACATCAGGTGCTGAAAGGTACAACACTGCAACTGGGCGCCACCTTCCATAACTGAACAGGCCAAGAAAGTACACTGAACATCAGCATCCGGCAATATATTTGTTTGAGATGGAGTCTCACTCTGTTGCTCAGGCTGGAATGTGGTGGCCCGATCTTGGCTCACTGCAACCTCTGCCTCCCGGGTTCAGGCGATTCTCCCAACTCAGCCTCCTGAGTAGCTGGGATTA